TCTTTCCTGCTAGTACAGTTTATTTTACTTATTACTTCAAACAATAATATTTTTGCACCCAGTACATTCTGAGAGAACTTTCTTCACTTTTTTGTCAGCCTGACGACTTGGCAAGAAGGTACGGAGTTTTCCATAACATCCGACATATCTCCTCTTCTTTGATCCCTTTTCGAGATGATGTATTTTGTTTATTGTGGGTTCTGAAAAGATAAAATTAATATGTTGTGTTTGTGTGTGTATTTTTCAAGCGTATATGTTGAAAAGTTCTTTCTGCGCAATCTACTACTAGGGGATAAAAGCGTATTTTATTGTAACCTCTGTAAGTAATAGCTGATGCTAGCGCAGAAAAACAAATTGCAGAAATATGGTTCTACGGGGACGATATACAGTACCCGCCTTACATTATCACTGTCTTTTAAATCTAACTTTTTACGGCAACGTTTCGACATGTCGTCGCGTGCGCATCTCGAATGTAATGCACAACACTGGCCGCGTGAAGCTAACGCAGGGTGTGGTACGAGGTACGCTGGGATAGGAGGTGTTTCCAACTTTGTTCCACACTGTATTTAAAATTTTACTTATCAGTGCGGCACAGGGTTTAAAAAAACCCGGTATTAAAGTAAGTATACCACAGAACTCGGGATTAATAGCACATCTCAAATATATATTTATCGCTTTCTTACACTAATCCAAGTAGAAGTTACGCCTTCCGCACGACAGAGAAGTTTATGATTTTCGTTGCTGCACCACAGGCGAGACATGTACAAGGTGTTTTAGATCCTGTTCCGCACTGAACGTGTTAATGAAGTCATAATTATTAAGAAAAAAAAAACTCGAAACGACAGTTTAAAATCGTTAAGAATAACAGTAGCGTCTTTTTTTTTATTATTTGATAAACGAAGTAGTATTTCCAAAAATAATAATAAAACAAAAAGAAGAAGTTCTTTGTACGACTACAAGCTATTTTTATATTTTTAAGTACTAAATATTTTTTTAATATCTTTTAAGCACGGACCTTTAAGGTCTTTGTTTGTAAACTAATATACTAAATTTCATAATTCTTTGCATGACGTAAACTTACGTGGACAAAGTTGTTGATATATTAAGCTTTCGGTGATGCTTTTCATTCAACTTTAATGACTGAACCGTAATTTCAGACTGTTTTTTATATGTAAAAAAATCTATTATATTTACAATCGTTTCAAATATATGATACATTTCAATCTATAAATATGTATAATAAATGTTACAATTTATAATTGTATCAAAAAGCAGTCCAGTAACAAGCTATACTAACACAATATTCTGTACGCAGCCCTTAGTTAATAAGTCGGCGCTAAGAAACGTATTACTACTAATACTGGTAGTTGCTAGGACATAATTTTCATTAACATCTTAACACCGGGTCCAGCGTCCTTTCCATTTTGCTGCAGACCTACAACATAATACATACATGGCTTCATCATGCCTCGGCTTCAGATTTGCTTGGGTGAAAGGTCATGCGGGAAATATAGGTAACTAAATAGCTGATTAGACAGCCAAAAGTGAAATCAACTACATAATCAACCCGAATACGCACAAATCCATTTCATTTTGATTCTTAATGGAGGATAAATGAATAATTTTATGGGCTACACCATCCACTTACCATTAGATAGACTGTATGATCGCTTGTCACCCTTATTCTATAAAAAGAAATACAATTTTTTGTAATAATATTTTTTACATATAACGTAGACATAATAAAATCTTAGGTTCACCATGTAAACGTAAATAGTATATTTAATATTACAAATTACGAATATATTTCGATAATTTCAACAATTGCTAATTATACTAGCAAAGAATTTAATGTTTGCTCGTGTACCTAGCTAACTATTCCAATTATATTTAGATTAATTTTATATAATATTACCAAGTTATATAATATGTAAGGCAGCTGATTTAATAAAACCCATAATCGACATTAATTGAACTGATATATAAATTAACGGGATATTTGCAAAGGACAATGTCCAAAATCGCCCTGTGTAATAACAGCATCGGACATACACGATAATTAATTTTCTATTTTATTTTATTAGTTGCAAATACTTTTATAACACGGACTAGCTGCGATCAAAAATGAACATTAAAAAGTATGATACTCGACTAATAACATTAATCGCCGCTATCTTCGCCAAACATCATGTGGTGTCGAAAATCGATTGTAATCGATTTTTGAATTTTTAATGAACTGTTGTATATTTTTTAATCTGAATTACATTTTGAATTTATTTCGAATAAAGTTGCAAAAAGAAGCTACAATAAAAATATTGAATTACCATTTCTTTATATTCTTTTATATTATTCCCTAAAGTATAATTTAAGAAACTTACTATACCTATTGAATGAGGTCATACTCGATTTTGAATAGGTAGTTAGAATAATGCTGAAAAAATATTCGTAAAGATTATTATTCAGGATTTTCTAATGATCGTTTAGAAAGGAGTGTATTTTACGTCTTACTAAATGATAACTTACGAGTTTACGACAATTAATATAAAAAAAAACACTTATTGTGTAAAACACTTAATTATAAATGTGTTCTTTAAAAAGAGTAATATTGCAGACTAGATACAGATGTTATTATTAATATTGTTACAAGTATGGAAGAAGTAGAGATGTACGTGTTATTATAAGTAAAGTAGGATATTGTCATACTTTTTATGGTACTAATATTATCGTATGACAAAAGATGATGTATTTAATATTGTTTGCAACGTATGGCTATAATAAATTTTAGGAAATATTCATAAATCGTATCGTATTTGGCGCTCCTATTTTTAATGTCACTAAATGGTCACTTGTCAGTCTCTCATGAAAAAAATACGAAAAAAATATGTAATTCATAGTTGAAATAAGTCCATTTTCACACAAGAGGTCCAAACGACGAATTGAACTCGGCTGGGCAGCGCTCGGTAAAATTACTACAAAACTCGTCCAGTGTGTTTCAGAATCTTCAAACAATAGTGTGCAATGAGTGTGTGTTGCTAAAGCGGAGACGTAGTTCCACTTCCATCAGTATGAGGAAATTCAAAGTCGGTCATGCTACGCTCAGAGTTTCACTGTGTAATAAAATAGTAGCGAGGATATGCACAGAAGAACAAGAATGTGTAAATAGTGGACTTGTGTTGGGCTGTAATGGTGATGATTGTGATAATAATGATGATGATGTAATGAGCAATTGACTGTTATTGTTGTTTTTAATTGTTAGAAATGCTTTTCCCTGAGGCCTATGGTTTAGCATTAATTTATAACTCTTGTTCAGAATGAGAAATTATTTTATTAATTTTAGTTGTTTGAAATCGGCTTTACTTTCTATCCTTTTGAGTTTATTGATTTCTCAATCCACTTAAAAGGCTCACAATTTTAATGTTGTCTAAATAGTTTCATTTAAAAACGCTATCCCCTATTTTGCCACCTTTAGGGATGGAATTTCTGTGCGTGATATCTTATATACAAGCAAAATAAAAACAATCATTGTTAACTTCCTCCTTTTTTGAGTTGAAAAAAAACAGTGCTACTTTACAACTTCGAAAAATGTTGGAGATTATCTCCACAGCGATATTTCTCGATAACTATTTTGGTAATTAGTGTTTTAAGAATTGTTAAACTCTGAGACATTATTTTGTTTTAACTATGCACAACAATAAGGCAAATTAACCTGTTGCAAAAATCGGTGAACTTACATGTTAATTATGCGTATTACGGACGGGCGTGATTGTAGATACAAATTAAACCAATCAAACCAACGCTCCCTGCCACCAGAATTGTTTAATTTTTATCAAACACTATGGTCGGGATCGACCGGGGAATCGAACCCGGAACCGCGCTCTGCTACCAGAATTGTTACAGCCTACGGCTGCTCCCTTAAAGGTCAAATCTCCAGGGGCCCATTCAGCTGAGTTTCGACGAGCAGACGTAGGTCGGGCCTCCTCCAGGCCAAAGTGGAAAATCAATTATAGTCAAATTTTACAAAGACCGTAGTGCTGCAGCGGCTAAGGGACTTCTTTCATGAATAAGACTTAATTGTCGAATTTTGTGCTTTTAGTTGATACCATATAAAATAACCATATATTATTCATATCCCAATATAGTTTACCTCTAAATTTGCGTGGGTTAAGTCACGTTACGTCAAGCAGTTTTAGTTAATAGCGTGTGTGAGGAAGAGCCGATATAAATTCCTTAAGTGCTGCATTATGGCATGGAACTTTTAATTAACTATTTTTTACGTAATATAATATCAAAAAAACATTTTTTTTTAATAATCAATGTCAGCAATCACAATAAATTGTTCACCGGTCCATTTATATACGCTTTCACCATTTGGACAGTCGCCTAAAACTGTTACAACTATGTAACGTTTTATTTTTATCGAAACGAGAGCATAAATATCACACTGTTTGTCATTATCGTACGAGTTCAAAATTCTTTAGTGATATGAAGTTTGGTTTCATGGAAAACAAATAAGTAGGTATAAGAAATATTTACAGTAGTTTATTCTGCTTACAAACAATTTATTTACATTACATAGACTTTACATAAATCCATTTAACATGGTGATATCTTTTAATTTAATGACTAAAAATACTAAAAACCTTTTCAGAGGACGTAGGTATAACGTTATCGAAACTGAGCAAATAGTTAATAAAATATTTTGCACTACATCATAAAAAGTATACATTCATGTTGCTCATTTCGTTCGACTTGTATAAACGACACATTGACAAAAATATACCATAGAAACAACATTAATTGCGACACCGAGGATGTTTTATTACTTTTAAGTTGACTACTTAAAATTAGTATAGGCATCAAAAAACGTTTTATAATGTAACGCCTGCAATGATACACAAATATATACAAAACAGCATACAACACACAAATCTAATAAACATTGAGCAATCAAGGGGAACACCACTGGTAACTTCTTTTACTCACTTTATTATGTCTAAAAGTTAAATTAAAAAGTACTCTGGGCCGACATACGAGCCACACTTTGGGAAATCCACTGGGGCTTGCACAAAATCACTTTCATCACCAACTTTCAATACGAAATCGAGACCTCTAGTCCAGTGCGCGGATCGTTCGTCCCTCATCATCCAGTAACCAGGGTTGTCAGCTTGGAATCGTAAAGCAACAACACCGAATTTCGGTATTACTATAGTATCTTTTACGACGGGATCTATAAGATTGTTGGAAGCAAAAAGCGTTCCCTCCTCGTACATCTCTTTTAGTTGATTGCTATCTACGCTTGTGTTGAATTCTCTCATACCAACCACGTAAAAACTGTAACCGTGGAGATGAAAAATATGGTCTGATTCGCCACCTGCAAAAGAAAATAAAATTTAGCTTAAAAACCTCATATTTGATACGCACTGTCAACTATTATATAATTTTTTGTTTTAAAAATGTATCCACCCATTTCATGTAGATTTTTTTTATAGGATAGGGTGACAAACGAGCACACAGTCCACCTGATGGTAAGTGGTTGCTGTGACCCATAGACATCTACATTTATCCTCAATAAAGAATCAAAGTGCAGATGCGTCGCCACCCGTGAGGACTAAGATGGAATGCCTCTCTTCCAGTAAAAAGGGTCTCCGGTTCTCTACACTCACCATACAAAGCACAGCAGCATTAAGCTGCTATTTTACGCTGGTATTCTGTGAGAGCGTGGTCCTTCCCGATCGAGCCGATCCATTCGTGCCACAACTATACTACCAATATAACTGCAGCATGGCTCTACCACGTATAAGATGTCGCAAAAGGCGACTTGCCTGGAAGATGTCGTGTGCGTGACTCATTAGGTGATAAGATACCGACAGACATTGCTGTGTTAATCTGAAGGGTAGAGAGAGCAACAGCCAACGTCCACAACAACTGGCTTGTCTAAAGTTAGCTACAGATGTCTATGGGTATTAGTCACTTATCCTCAGGTTAACTGTAAGTTAATTTGTTACTTCAAATTTATAAAAAAAGAAAACAACTTTGTATTTTTATGATGTATGTAATATCCAGATTGGCGACAAAAAGAACTCTTTGTTTCAGAGTTACGAGACGTCTGACACTGCGAATATATTATCTCTCACCTACTAATTTATTCTTGCGTTAAAATCATAGGAAGCGTCAAGGATATAGCACAACTATAATACATATTTATCTCCGACTCGAAACCTTATAACGAAACCTTAAAATATTATACTAATATGTACTTTTGAAGGATCAGTCTTAAAAAATAAGTAAACAAAAATTAGCAACAAGAAATATTAAACAAAAACATAAAACACAAACACAAAAGTAAAACAATTACATAACGCGTTAGTAACAAAATCAATTATCCTATGTTATTTTAAAAACTAACTTAACCTACTTTCGGCCCACAAAATAAAACACCTGGCGTAACCTCGCTATTGCCGCCTATGTGTGCACCATGCCAGCACCTTCAGAAATAACTGTCCAGGTTATCAGCCAGTTTCCTGAGGAGGGTGTTGATGTTGCTCACTACCCTGCTCATCATAGATGCGAAACGTTTGAGCATGGTCGCGTAGAAATCATCGACACGAGCATCCGTAAACATTGTCGCCACAGTAAACAACACCGCCCTCAGCGTATCGTTATATGAACACGCGGAGGAGTATAGTGCACGCACAAGGACAGATGCACTCCCTATACCCTCACTCTCATAGCTTGATGGAACAACACTGACTCAACCGGAGTGATATCAAGAACAAATCTGTGCTTTTCGAAGCCCGCTGATAAAACACCGCCAACTTCCTAACTCCAGAATACTACTAAGAATTTCTTAATAGAAAATGGTGAGTGTAGAGAACCATAGATCCTTTTTACTGGTAACAAGGCATTTAATCTTAGTCCTCAGGGGGTGACAACGCATCTGCATTTTAATTCTGAATCGAAAATAGATGTAGACGTTATGGACCATAGTATCCACTTACTATCAGGTGGAAAGTGTGCTCCCATGTCACACTTATTCTATAAAAAAATACACATACATACAGAAGAGATCAAAAGGCATTATATTTCTTTTGATCACTTGGCCTACTTTGATTTGTTAGAAATGTAATACAAGCATTGCGACAGCGCTCGAAAAATATTACATAAGTTTATCAGACGTCGAAATCTATTATTCACGTACATATTATTATTTATGTAACGGTAATTTATAGGCTGCTACTTGTGTACTGCCTTGAGAGAGTTGCGGAAGCGTGTATTTTTATGTAATTTATTGTGCCGATAATAGAACAGCTGTATCCCGGGCGTCCGTGAATATAAATCAGAATGAATCTGAATATTTAACCAAGCCCTCTGCATTTCTGTTTGTTTCGTTTCCGCATTTGTTGAGTCATTTTATTTGATGTATAAACTTAATTGCAATTATTTTCATTTAGTTATAACAATATATTTTAGTAAATACCAACATAATTAGACCAGATCTCTCTCTCCCGATATCGAGGTTGTCTCATAAGCGTTACATTGTACACGGGTTAGTAAGGCCGAGTGAGTAAGTCTCTGTGGTTGTGGCACTATATTATGTCCTGTATTCTGAATTTTTTTAATATTTGGAAATTTTCGCCAATATTGCATTATGTAGGAGAGTATCATAAAATGATTAGCAAACTTTATGATTGCAGTGTGGTGGCGTCGTAGGAAAATCCTTCACTCCATTTCATTCTCTGGGTGTCGTAATTTTAAACTGTGGTAAATTCAAGAAAGATGTAATGGCTTCCGATATCTCTATTTCATATAGATCTCCTTTACGCTAGACGTAAATATCCCAAACCAATGGCAAGCAGCCTATCAATGATGCAAGAAACTGTTATCGCTGATAAATCTGCCAAACGTGGCGATTACGGCGAATCGTCCCTGCGGATGGAGAGATCCATGTTCAGCAGTGAACTTCTACGAGCTGATAAAGAAGATACGACAGACTTACATAATACCTTGCTATAATCATGGATAACTTTATGCAACAAAACGTATAAGTGGATGCTGTAGCCCATAGATATCTACATTTATCTCCGACTAAGAATCAAAATGCAGATGGGTTGTCACTCCTGAGGACTACGATGGAATGCCTCGTTTCCACTAAAAAGTTCTCCGGTTCATTACACTCACCATACGAAACACAACAGCATCAAGCTGCTATTTTACGCTGGTATTCTGTGAAAGTGTGGTGCTTCCCCGGTCGTGCCGACACATTATTGCTACAACCACAATATAGCTGCAACGTGGCTCCACCACTTCAAAATATCTACACAAATCTGCAAATCCACGCATGTAGGGATGTATTTAGATATATCTTTGACATATTTGAGCATATTTATGAAAACATGTGCAACAATATGCCAAATTATATCGGTTTTTGTCTAATATCACAGCATTCACTAATATCAACCGTTAATCTCCGATACAATGGCAGCGTCAAAAATCACATAATATATAGGCAATTCTACCCACTTATATAAATTTATTGAGGTTCTGCAAAGTAAAGTTGCTTCATTGCAGACCGTATGAAAAAACTCAAGGTCACTCAGCGGGCTATGCTCGGAGTTTCTCTGCGTGATAAACTTTGTGATGAAAATATCCGCAGTAAAACCAGAATAACCGCTCATAGGATCAGTTCTCTGAATTGCCAATGCGCCGCCCATATATAGCTCAAAAATTCGACAACCGATGGTGAAGCAAGGCTGCCACTCGAAAACAGTCTGGTACCGATAAACGAAATGTAGGCGCACTAGATGAGTGACGTCCTGGTAAGATATGCAGGTAGTCGATGGATGCAGGTAGCTTAAATACCGTGCTTTTTAACATTCCTTGGGTGAGGCCTATAATCAGTAGTGAACTTGATCATGTTGATGATATATAATACAATAACATTTTTTTTATAGAATAAGGGTGACAAACGAGCACACAGTCCACCTGATGGTAAGTGGTTGCTGTGGCCCATAGACATCTACATCTATCTTCGCTTGCGAATTAAAATGCAGATGCGTTGTCAGTCGTGAGGACTAAGATAGAATGTCTCTTTTCCAGTAAAATGAGTCTCCGATTCTCTACACTCACCATACGAAATACAGCAGCATTAAGCTACTATTTTACGCTGGTATTTTGTGAGAGCGTGGTCTTTCCCCGGTCGAGCCGACCCATTCGTGCTACAACTATACTATCAATATAGCTGCAGCATGGTTCTACGACTTAAATAAAACATTGCATAATATATGTATGAATACAACATTTTATATATATATATATATATATATATATATATAACTAGCTAGCCAGGCACACTTTGTTCTGCCTTTTCCGACGATCCTTTGTCCTTAATAAACATCTTTAAATTTGCAATAAAAAAAGTGGAGCCACTTATAGGAATAAAAAAAACTATTCTATCTCTCATGTTGGAGCAAGCAATACACATTTACATGTCATTAAAATGGGTTAAGTGTGACAACAATGTGACACGTAATTTTTATATAATAATAAGATGTATATATCTACATAATTATGTAGAAATAAAATACATGCTAAACACAAATTCAAACAAAATCTATACAAATGTTTGCAAAGTGTAAGTATTGCTTGTTTGTTGACCTTTATTCATTCACCTTACAATCCGGAATTTAGGAAACGCAAATACTCCAATTTATCATACAATGCCCGCAAGGTTTGCGCTGAATAACAAGCTTTTACTTTAACTTTAAGTAACGTAGACGGTACCTACATAAAACAATATTGTGCTTCAATTAAATTTAAAAAGTAATTTAGAATATAATAGAATAGAATAATTTTTATTGAAGATAGATTACATGTAATTCTTATTGAAAATATTTTTTTACTTTACCACTGGTTTGGTAAATGAGAGACTTTTTTTAAATAAAATTAATTTACAAGATATTATTTTATGCAATTAGTACGTTTAGAAAAAGTATGGTAGCAATCACTTCATTTCTAGTGGTTATCATCAATCATATAAATACCATTTAAAAGGTCAGCTAATTAATTAAAGAGGTTTTGGTCAACTCCAAATTGTATTTTGTTAGAAAATAAACTAAATTGAGAACCTTCTACTCGTAGTTAACGCCAAAATACCTTAATTGATCATCAATGTGATAATAAGCAGTCTAACAAGTAATATGATATTAGGGAAAATTGATGTCGTAAGAAATTAAATATAAAACTGCAACAGTATTAGTAGAATAGCAAATCGTTATTGGGATTTTATCAAATTTTGGAAGCTGTAAAATTAATTTTCATTTACTAATTATTTTCATTTGTACAGTAATAAAAGTACGCCATTTTTATTTGCTG